CCCCAAATTCCCCCGAATTCCCCCCAAAATTCAGCTGCGACCCCCCCGGAGCCCACCCGGGACCCCCCGAACGGCCCCAAAAATCCACCAAAAAAAACCCTAAAAACGGGAAAAAAATCCCCAAACCCTTTAAAAACCCTTTAAAAACCCTGAAAAAACTCCTAAAAACCCCCTAAAAAAACCCAAAATCCCCCTAAAAATCCCTCTAGAAAATTCCCAGAAAATCTCAAAAACAAAAAAAACTTTAAAAACAACCCCTAAAAAAATACCAACCCGAAAATAATCCCGGAAAACCTTTTAAAAACAACCCCAAAACCCGCTTAAAAACCCCCGAGAAATCAAAATAGAAACCCCAAATAAACCCCCAAAAATCCCCTAAAAAATCCCCCACAAATCCCATAAAAAAGCCCGAAAAATCCCAAAAAGATCTCCCAAAAATCCTGAAAAAATTCCCGAAGAATCCCTGAAAAATCCCTAAAAACCCCCTTAAAACCCTCAAAAAATTCCCGAAAAATCCCAGAAAAAAATCCCGAAAATTCCCGAAAAATCCCGGAAAAATCCCAAAAACCCCCTAAAAAATCCCCTAAAAATCCTCAAAAAACCCTCTAAAAAAACCCCCGAAAAATCCCCCAAAAATCTCTAAAACAACCCTTAAAATCCTCAAAAAATCCCCGAAAAATCCCCGAAATTTCCCTAAAACCCCCGAAAAAAATCCCAAAAAATCCCCTAAAAAATCCTCAAAGAATCCCCCCCAAATTCCTGAAAAATCCCTAAAAACTCCCTAAAAAACCCTCAAAAAATCCTCAAAAAATCCCGGAAAAATCCCTGAAAAATAAAAAAAAAAAAAAAATCCCTAAAAACCCCCGAAAAAATCCCAAAAATTCGCCTAAAATAATCCTCAAAAAATCCCCCCAAAATCCCTGAAAAATCCCTAAAAAACCCTAAAAAATCCTCAAAAAAACCCTAAAAAATCCTCAAAAAAACCCTAAAAAATCCTCAAAAAAACCCCCTAAAAAATCCTCAAAAAACCCTAAAAAATCCCCGAAAAATCCCCAAAACCCCCCTAAAAAAACCCCCAAAAATCCCCTAACCCCCCCCCTCCGAAGCCCCCCGAGCCCCCCATGGCGGCCCTGGCGAGTTCCCTGATCCGGCAGCCCGGGGGGGGGAAGGACGCGCCCCCCCCGCGCGCCCCCGGCCCCGCGCGCGCCCCCGGAGCCCCCAGACCCCCGTCCCTGTGCCAGCAGCAGCTGCGGGGGCTCGTGGCCAAAGTGAGGGGCTGCGGCCGGAGGAGGAGACCCCGAGAGAAACCCCCCGGTCAGCCTGGGGGGTCCTGGGGGGGATTTGGGGGGTCCTGGATGGGATTTGGGGGGTCCTGG